CGTTATATTCCGTAACGCGGCTGAATCCACTGCTGTTCTTCCTGCTAACCACATGTTGGACGACCTTCAGTGGCTTAAAATGTGCGTAACGAAGCTTCTTCCGCCTGGTTTTCCAGGCGTTACTGCCAGGAAGCTGATTAGACTGGGGAACGTCCCAGTTAATGCACCAGACCCTCGACCACGGCTGCTTCTTGTTGTACTCTCTACCTTGGAGGAACGCAACGCTCATGCGGTTTGCTTTAAACTGAAAGGTACTAATATTAGTATTCTGCCGGACCTTCTGCTGGTCGATAGGCTAAAGTTAAGGGAGGCTATCAAGAACCTCGGAAGCAGGCGAGCGGCCGGTGAACAAGGTCTCCTGTTAGTGAGTTTTCGGGTAGTCAGCCGGGAATTCTTTTTCCGCCCTGCCACTGTTCATTCTGGTAGCGCACGACCCAGATAGTGCTATGTGTACAGCCTAAGGAATAAGGTGTACGAGTTAGGTCTGCTTGTAGATGGCTCTCATCCCGATGTACTCGCATTCACTGGAACGTGGCTGTCTCAGGACATCACGAATGGTGAAGTACATATATCTGGCTACGCACTATTTGGATGCGATCGCTCCGCTGGCCGGCAGGGAGGAGGCGTCGCTCTTTATGTGAACTGTAAACTTGGCGTTTTGAAGACTTGCTTATTTCAGTCGGCAGACAAAACTGTTGAAGCTCTGTCGGCTGTGATTAGCACACCCTCGGCTCAGGTTACAGTTGTAATTGTGTATAGAAGCCCTGGCAGCATATCCAAAGAGGTACTTGGCTTTATTCGCTCCCAGTCCGCAAACAGGTGTTTTGTGATGGGCGACTTCAACTTCCCGGAGGTTTGCTGGGCAGATCTTTCTTGCAACTCAGCGTCAGGCACATTCGGCGCTGATCTACTTGAGCTTACGCTTCAAGTACCGTTGCATCAGTTCGTTGATCTCCCCACTAGGTACATGGACGCCCAATTGGGCGTCACTAGGTGACTGCCTTCTTGGATGGTAGCGAACAGTGTGTACGGGTACGCCGTGGCCTATCGTTTAGGCAGTCTGTCCTCAGTGGCGTGCCGCAGGGCTCGGTCCTTGGACCACTGCTGTTCTCTATTTGTGTGAACTACCCGCGGAGCTTGAGGTATCATCGCTGCTACTTTCTGATGACCTGAGGTTGTGAAACATTATCGATGTTTCTGGGGGTTCCGAAGCTATTCAGCTAGCCTTGCTTAAGCTATGGGACTAATCTATTTTATGGTTACTGTCCGTAAATCAGGCAAAGTAGGGTCGTAATGCGTCGGTAGAAAATTGAAACAAATGAGTTATGGCATTCTTCGGACCAGCTCCAGCGTTTATCCTTTGTCAGTAAGTCATTGAGTGGGCCATGCAAGCGATGCATGTGCGGTAGGAACGGGCTGTAATGACTTATAAGTCCTAGAAAAGACCTTAATGTTGCAACCACTTCGGGCGACGGCATTTTCTTGATAGCCTCGATGTTCGCTAGGTCTGGACGCCCGCCCTTCCTGTCGATTATGAAGCCGAGAAACGTAATAGAGTCCATAGAGAAGGTACAGTTCTCAGGTCGGAGTCTGAATCCGTGTTCCTCAACACGGCCAAGAACTCAATCCAACTTCTCGGATAAGTCATCAGCACTACCTCCGCCAACAATGATGTCATCCAGGTATGCGGCTGCTCCATCGGCATCTGTCAGCATTGTGTCCATAATCTGCTGGAATACGGCTGGTGCAGACTTGACTCCAAACGGGAGACGGTGATACTGGTATAAGCTTCGATGCCTATTGATGGTGAGTGATTCTCGTGAAGCTTCATGTACTTCGATTTACAGGTATGCATCAGAGAGATACAGCATTGCGAAAAATTTACCTGTATTCAATTTTTGCAAACACATTATCTGGGAGCGGTAAAGGGTAATGGTGGGCGTTCGATGCAGCATTTAGACCCGTTGAGAAAGCGGCGCATATTCTAATCTGGCCGTTTGGATTTTTTGACCACAACAATGGGTTCCGCTCAAGATGAGTAGTTCACCGGATGAATAACTCTTGCTCTCTCTAAGCGATCCATCTCCTAGTCAACCATTGGTGTTGCAGCGCAAAGTACGGAGCGTCTCGTCCTAAACACTAGAACGACATCGGATTAAAGGGACAATGAGGCTAGTACTTTGATGCACTTACCGAGGCCTTCCCGAAAGACTGCTACATATTTTTGTCGCAGGCGCTCGATGGATACAGTGTATCTGGACACTTGCACAAATCTGGTTAATCGGAGCATCAAGTAGGTTGAAACGCTCGATCCAGTCCAGACCCAGCAGATTCAAATTCTGGTGGCTCTTGACGAAATTTGTTCCCCATGCGGTAAAGTGGGCATAACGACGCTCATAACCGACTTGACCAATCAATTCCAACTCGGCACTTGATGCACTTTTCGCCTGCTGACTGATAGGTTTGATATCTGACGACCCGACAATCCTCCACAGCCTTCCTGATGTGACCGTAATGTTAAGCCGTAACTGTAAACGCGCCTATTTTTCATTAATGTGGATGCTGATTTCCTTTCTGTGATCTCTTACATCGTCAGTAAAATTGGCGTTCACACTCTTCACGAAACGACCGTAGGTTTTCTTTCGTGCACCATGAAGCAGTTTGAAAATGACTTGGATCTGAAATGAGTTTCTCTGTGTTCACGTCTACGACATTTCTGGCAGATGTTTGTTGAATGGACACCATCTAACAGAATGCTAGTCTCCGCATTGCCAACATGCTGATGGTGGCTTGTCTTGAGGGAGCATCTTGAGATCAGTGGCTGGAAACTTATTCCTCGAAATTTGCTGAACTGCGAAACCATTGGACTGTGCTTTCGTATCCTTGACCATAGCTGTATTGTTTTAAGTTAATGATTTTCTGGGCCTCTGCAATGTGGGATTGAAGATGAGATCACGAACCGTATAGCAAAAGCTCGAGGCGCTTTTGCTAACCTTCGCCACTTATGACACCGGCGCGACATCACTCTCATCCTGTAGGGTAGAGTGTACAGTGCAGCGGTACGCTCGACGCTACTGTATGGTTGTGAAACCTGGCCCCTTAGATCAACGGACATAAAGAAGCTAGTTACGTTCGACCACCGGTGCCTTCGCAATTAAGCTCACATCTGGTGGGAACACCGCGTAAGCAACGAGCGTGTTCGACGCCTTGTTTACGGTACAGGAAAAGAAACTGAACGGCTCAGCACCGTTATTTCCCGCACCAGTCTTGTTTGCTACCGCAGTGTCAATCTTCGCGTTTGTGAGTCTATGTGTGTATGGGTGCCGTCACTTCTGTCAGTCTTGATAGTCAACGATCCAGGTAGCTAACAGTCCTGTGCCCTGTATCCATCTGTTACTATTACGCCTCAATTGATTTCATTCACTTTCTTCCAATCTTTTTATTTATCTTCTGCTTGCTTTCTATCTCATCTCCATCACCATGGTTATTTGTTTTTATTTTGGCACCGTCTATCCTTAAGGGGAGTTACTGACAAACTCCTCTTCATTCTGAGGCCTCTATCCTGACTTCCGTGGCCGGGTATGGGTCTACTACAGGAAGCTGATTCTTCAGTTCCCTAATCCAAGTTGGTTTCGCTTGGCTTGACCTACATCATCTTACCTCTTCTACATTGCGATCGAAGTGCTCATATATGATTCCGTTCTTTTAGAGTCTTCCGAAGTGTAAGTCCTGCCATTTGATTTGTTAGCAAACCTTGAGTATGAGGAGGGCATATCTTTCCTCGGGTCGAACTCAGTGGTTATACAGGCACTACTGGTTAACCTGGCGCGTAGCTTTGCATGATTCGGCATATGCTTTGCGCCCTCAAGGGACTGACGCGCTACCGGTTCTAGCTCTCAGCCAGCAGCCACTGGACGTGGTTGATTGGTTCACTTACCTTCATAGTTGTCACCTCAGGTGCTCACATCACTGTGGAAGTTACTTCGTGTATCAGCAAGACCGTGTAGCTTTCCAGGGGCTCAACAATCTATGGAGATGGCGAGATATCAGCATGTCAGTGAAACGTGGATGTACAACGCTGCGACAAGGCCGGCGTTACTGTATGGATCAAAGACTTGGGCATTTTCAGTGAAAACATTAAACGCCTTGCCGTGTTTGACTACCGGTGCTTGCGGAGTGTTGCTGACATCTGGTGGGAACACCGGGTGAGCTGGAGTGAGGCGTGCCAATTGGTTTTTGACAAGAAGTCTTCATGTGCTTCACTCGAGTGCTTACTAATGCTCAACTGCTTACATTATCTACATCATGTCATCCCTAGGTTGTTGATCGCATTCCTTAGGGTGCATTATACGCCGTCGCCGCACCAAGTTGGACGAACATACGATGGGACCAGTTTGACTTTTCATAAAATCCTGAAGAAACTGACCGCAGAGATTTGGTCAGGCTGGTACATACCGTACTCCTAGATGGGTTTCGGGATAGTCTACGTAAAGTGGCTAGAGTCTCTACCAGACATAACAGTCATATATTCAGTGCTGTTCCAGCCATCGGTTTACTGTGTCTATCTTTTGAATTTTCATTCCATCCGACTTGTCTAACGCGCTATTTCCTTATCTTTATTTTCATTTTACTATATTTGCGTTCAATATCACTTCTTGCCGTTATTTATTGTTATTCTGGCGGCGCGGTTAGCGATAGGTAGATTCGCCTCAGCTCAGTGACTGGGCTAAAGGCGAGTTTGCTCACGTCGGAATTTAGTATTCTTTTCTGGTCGGTTACAATACCCTCTAACAAGGAGAATTTGTCGATCACGTGAGCGTGTTCATTTCGCGCAGTATCTCTTTTTCCTTGTGGATGATCCCTGCTGGGCTAATGGTCACATCGCTTCCGCGACTTCCTCCTGCTGACGGAGCTACTCATTCTTCTTACCATTTGCTTGCAAACAACCTTTAAAAAACACTACCATCTCTTCTCATCTTTACCTCCTTCCTCATTTTTCAGAAGTCTTGTTTAATGTCTTCAGTGCAATTGGAAGAACTTTGTGAATCATATTCCAATTTAAAGAACAAATTTGCTCTCCAGCCTCGAAATGCGAACATTGCGGATGATTTACTGCAAAGTGGTACGTTGGGTTGCTGCCGCACCTTATTTACTACTCACAACACTTGCACATTCCACCATTGTTCTGTGTTACCCGAGCGACCAATGATACTGTTTTGCGTGCCGTCCGTGACACCCCACTTCTTGCTTCCACCCACCACTTTGCTGATATCGTTTGACAAACCGTCCTCAAATTGGAAGCTAGGCAAACAATTTTGGGAAGGATTTCGATCGGCTGTGCGCTTCAATTGCTTCTCCTTTGATACTCTTATCTATCCCCTGGCATTGTGTTCCCGTTCGAGATTGATACATCTTATGTGTTTCCAATGTTGCTCTGTTGCGATTTGTTCAGTTGAGTTGCTCGCCGCTCTAGGCAGTTTTATTGTAGACATTTCGTCACCAGTCGAGGTGATTTCCTCAGTGCAGGGGTTTCTGGTTTCGTATCTGATGCTTGCAGAAGGCAAATCCAGGGATGGATGGTGTTGCACTATCATAACGTTGCTCTACCTTGACCTCACTTGGGGCTTGCATATCTTTTACATTGAGATGCGGTGCGTGCTACTGAACATCTTAAAGCAAACCACTTATACTAGACCAACTTCAAAGGTCGGTTACACTGTTTCATTATCCTCTTGATAAGAAATGTCATAGAGGCGAGCGGCCCGCTTTCTTCAGAATCCAAACATGTAGAACAGCAGTTTGTGTCAGCAACTCAACCTAACTGACTTGGATCGCCAGATGTTTCCGTTTGCTCCTACCGATGAAAGCGTATACTATACAGTCTATGGTCAAGTGGCCACATACTCGCTTGTGCTTAACCTTGGTCGCGTGTATCTCGTCAATTGTGGTCAGAAATGACCCGACATGCACTTTATGTTATTACCTAAATCAGCTCACTACAAGGGCCCCGTAGTCAATCTCTCGCCCTATCTGCTTTTCTGCGCGCTGCAGACCAAACTTTGATGTCATGTCTGAGAATAGGCACTTTCTAACGAAAGTTCTCGCATACAATGTGCCACGAGGTAGTATCGTTATTTGTCTACTTGATCCGGTTACCAGCGTTTTTCATTTATATCCCTTCTGTTCTCAAGTCTGCCAGTAATAGACTTTATGTGGTACTGGTATTTTCCAAACCTACGGACGATAAACTTTTAAAGCTGCATCCAATGAGTCTTGATTCCGTCGGTAGTGCTTATGTCCAAATCCAATGGTTTTCGGTGCTGATAACGAGATCTCTAAGCACGCTTACGTAGGTTCTCCACTTGAACGAATCCAATTGAGTGTTCGCGGTTCAACTTCGGCGATCACTCAGTGTTTATAAGCAGCGTCGAGGTGGGACGTCCTATCGCTTCTTTATCCCCGTTGTCGAGTGGTCGGCGATCGTCAAAAATAACAACTCTCTTCCCTACTTCAAGTAGCTAAATTTCACACATTCTACTCTTTTTTACTTATTCGTGTTTTTTCTCATTTTCTGGATCCCATACTTGTTGTTAACTTGGCGCTGTAAGCCATGGCGGCGGCTCTATCACACGCTTTGATCTACGTCACATGGCGTGTCAGCTTCACGGCCTCTTTTTTCTACACACAGACCGTCTTCATAGATCTGTTGACGCTGAGTGCTGTGTTCAGGACACGTTGCCGTGCTCCTAACTTCTGGATTGGGTCTGGCTCTATGCCGATTTTCTGTGCCATTTTCACCAACCCCCGTTCAATGATATCATCGTGTTCCATCCTTTTTTTATTACCACAGATAGCGTTTTTATTTATGCTCTACTCGCCAACAATCGTCCCGGTTACTTCGCACATGCTATTCGTACAGCCTTAATATACTCTTCTATACACTGCTTACATAGACTTTTGTACACTTTGAACGCATCTGCCTTTATGTCAAAGACTGGCATGAACTCTCCATCCATTTGGTTGTCTTTGGCGAGCAACTAGGATTTTCCGTCAGTATTGACGGCGTGTCTACCACCATCTCCATCTAGTTCCAGGTTTGCTGACAGTTGTTTTGCTTCTATCCTTACTGTTCCTTGCATTGTGCACCTAGTTTGCGATGTTGCCCCTGAGGTACCCCCTCAAAATGCCAAGGCCTGATCCACTTCTGTTTGTTATATCCTTATACCACACATCATCTTTGGTCAAGGTGCTTCTTAACACAACCGAGTAAGTGTTTAACACCTTGGGTATTATCGACTGGATTTTTGTGTCAGTTAGATTCATTCAACTTACTGGTCGACTTGATCCCCACTGCGCTAGTCTACTATTTTGCTACTTTGGGCCGATCACGTATCCGAGTACTAAAGACCTTACTCTGTCTCCACACAAAGATGTCCAGTGAGCTTGTTTCCTTGGCAACTTATGCCATGATGATGATGATGATGAACTTATACCGGCACATTGAGGGCGTAGCGATGTGTGGTCCACTTAGTCCCGTTTTGGATAAAATGAAAGTCATGAGCAGTACACCAACGCTTCGCGGCCCTGCATCCACCACCATCAGTCGCATATGCGAGAGTAGCCCGGTCCCTACGCAGGTTGGAACCTGCGCCCCTTGGGATTACAAGGGAGGGCTGTGATCCTTAAGGCTAAGGGCCATTTTAGTTGCTCTTTTGTGCCCCATTTGGAAATACTAAATTGCGTCAGCACATACAGAAACGTGCTTTTCCGTCCCACATTAAGGAAACTTTTGTGGTTGTTGATGACGCTCATCGGACGGAAAACATGCTAGAAACGTTCAACAGTTGTCATCATGGGAAACTAATAATCAGACAAGTTCCACTTCTTGGATATAGCCTTGGAGAGGAGATCCAATGACTCGCTCAAAAGATCGATTTACCATAAACCGAATTAAACGAGGCAATATCTAATCTTCAACAGCTGCCGTCCCATGAACTACAAACGCTCGTTGGTTCGTGCTTCTTTTTTGGGAGCTCGGTGAATCTGTTCGGAAATATCAATTGAGAGGGAACTACAAAGATTCATGTCCGCCTTATACCATAGGTTTATTGTCATACATGGGGGAGAAACGGAAAACTGACTGAGTTTCCCAAGCTCTTCGTTGCACCGCCCTATAAAGAGGACCAAAAATACGTAAGATTCTGTGGTCGCCTACGCCAGTCTATAAAGTGATGCTGTTTCGCAACTGAGCTCGTGCTGCTGCACCAAGCCAGAAAGTTGTTGCAAAAATCCAATAAGCCTTACTCTCATGTTGCCGCCGCCTGCGTCTACCACCTTAGCCATATGTACAGTAGCATGCACATCGACCGGACTGACAGAACTCTGTTAACCTGGATTTCGATGCACATCCCGCGGAACCTAGCTTTGCTTGGTGCTAAATTGTTTGCTAATTCAATTGTCCGGCACCTACTCGACTGCACAAAGCATTCAAGGTTATTAACAAACAAAATAGTCCGAACCTGATCCGGTTCGCCATCTGGCATCTGAAGCCCCATCTATTCAAACAACTTGGCATTTAGGCTTTTTCTGTTCCGCTTTGTCAGCATGCTTGATTTATGGACACTAACTAATTACCGATTCCTGACACTGATCACTAGTTCATTTGAACTTTTCACTAATATTACGTAAGTGGGCGAATGTGAGTACTCGAAATATGCTGAATTAAAGTTATTTTATCCAAATATTATTTCCTCTTGCACTGTTGAAGCACTACTGTTAGGGAACTTCTACATGGGAACCGGGATAGTCCATCAAACGGACTGGTCACGATTCCGTGGACTCATGTGGGAACGCGATTGTGCAGTGATTCACGGACATGTCTTGTGTTTACACTGGCTTCAGAAAACAGTATCGGCGGTGTTACTGTGCCAGGCTACCCTCATCGTACATGTGCCATTTTCCATCTGATTCACCTAAACTCATTACGCTGTGATTTATTCAAAGAGATGCTGGACTTCCTTCATTCACTTTCCACTTCAAGCGTATATGGTCACACCCACAGTTAGGTATATGAATGCCACTCGATTTCCGTTACTTGTACTGACGAGACATTGCAAGATTGGTACATCCACAAGCTTTCGTCCCTCTACTGTACTTTACAAATTTCCGAGGAAAACTGCTTTAAATGTATCCTCATCTATCCTGTTTTTTCGTATTTGACTTCGGCGTTGATCAGCTGTTGTGCGATTTTCTGTCTTAGCATTTAGTTCATTTTGCTTCTCTTGTCTGCTCATTGTTGCTGACCTAGTTCTTTTTGCACTTTAATTCAATGTTTTCTGCTCGGCAATTGCCATTTCCAGCTTCGGCGATCATTGAAAAAGATCGGTGTGAATTTAACAACCAACTGAGCAAGGCCATCGAAGCGGAAAGCATGCTACTGTTTGAACAGCAGAAGTTGCAGCAGGAATGTGAACAGCTGTCAGAGCGCCTACAGAATGTCACGGAAGAGCGTAAAAATAACAGCGTACAACGCGAGAAGGCTATGAAGGAGATCACTGAGCAGACCAATCACATCAGGTTAGTGTAACTGGATTATCAACAGTGAATCTCGCTCACTGCCGCTTACAATGTCTCACTGTTTTCGCCCCTATGTACCGGTTCCCTGAGCATTATTTGTCACTCTTGCGGTTCCTGTGCCGTTAGAGCTACTCCTGAGCCATCGACGCAGGATGCGTCACTGACAATCCGACGTCGACAAATGTCTCCCTCCATTAACTGACATGCTTTCGTTCCCCATAATGCACTCTGCTGTGGAGGCAAAGTCGTCGCAACGTGTCTTGATCATTTGCTGTCTCATGAGTGTCAACTTAGGTTTACGCGATGACCCCAGCTCCTTGTGATCGCGCGATGATTAAAAATGCTTGTCTATGGTGTTTAGATTTTACGTTAGATCTCCGTCCATCTGTTATAAACGCCTATCAATTGCATCGCAACCAAGTACTATCTAAAAAGATTGAGAAATGGATAGCAACTCACTCCGGACTTTCAATCTTGTCACTCGCTTTTGTATGTTCAGGCCGCTGTACGTTTTTGGTGGTACTCAGCGGCGTTACCGGAGGCAACCATTTACCTAAATCTGCTATCCCGAACATTCTTAGCGCATTTCGGAATGTGTGCTTCAGATTGTCAGAAGGAGCATCTCTTTACACGGACCAAACTTCAGCCATTCAAGGAAGGTTTCTGTTAGATCTTCACTTTTTTTCGCTATTCCGAATTAACTGCCCAGAAATTTCTCCGCAAAAAATTCTAGCCCAGCCGAAGAAAAATCAAAATTCCAACAGCCTTGACCACGAAAAACGTGTTGGCAAAAACTCTGCCAACGTAGCCAGATAAATGCCGCCGAAAAACACTGTCCTCTCAACCCTGAGGCAAAAGTCCAATTAGCCGGGTGTTTGAAAACGCATTCGTCCGCTCGATCGATTGCCTGATCGACCGCACGGGTAGGCGATTCCCTTCAGCCCAGCTTTCAATCATCATTATATCTTTTCCCTTTTTTCTTTTATGTTTTTATCTGATTCTCCGATACCTCCCCTCCTGAAGCTGCTGCCGTTGTGTAGAATGCTAGCCGGGGATTAACCTGGAGCCTCCTGGAAGGGATTCTTCGCCTACCGGTGCATCGCCTTGGCTGTAGTGTTCTGGATTCGAATTCCGTACTCTGCGGTCTGGTACTATTCGTCTGATGACAGGGTTCTTCTACTGGCTCTGTAGGCAAGTTGAAGCTGTCTGTCAACAGGTCAAATGGAAGCTTGGTGGATTCTGTTGCTTGTGGCTGACACATTGTTGTTCGCAGTTGGTTTGCATGGCGTACCCATACCTGCGTTCCAACCAGCACGTCGTAAATGACGCTTCCGCGCTTGCGCTGGATCGTGCCTGGCGTCCATTTCGCATGTCCACCCCGATAATCACGCACAAGTATTGGCTGACCCGGTCTAAACGAACGTTGCTTGGCACCAAACCGCCGATTAAAACCACGTTCCATCTTTAGGTTCCTTTCACCAGCTATGGACTCTGAGGATGGCCGAACTGCATCATATGGCATGCGAAGTTTTCTCTTCATCATTGCCTCTGCTGGTGATATTCCACCCGATGTTTGTAAATTTTGTGTGGATCGATACAGAAATAGAAAGCGGTCGATCACCTCCTCTATGTCTCCCTCCCTCCTTGATTTGAGGAGAGCGCATTTACATGTATCCACAAACCTCTCCGCTTGGCCATTCGATTGTGGGTGGAATGGTGGAGACCGCACGTGGTTGATGGCGCAACGTCGACAGAATTCCGTGAATGTGGCCGAAGTAAACTGTGCTCCATTATCCGTCACCAATGTTTCAGGGCAGCCGAACCTGCTGAAGATTTGTCGCAACCTAGAGACGGTTGCGCTGGTTTTCGTGCTTCTCATGAGGAACACTTCGGGCCACTTGCTATAAGCGTCGACCACTATGAGAAAGCTCTGGCCATTGATTGGGCCTGCAAAGTCGACATGAACACGACTCCAAGGTTTAGTTGGTGTAGGTTATGAGCGGAGTTCAGTCTTTGGCGGTGCCCTTGAGGCGGTAGCGCAGTTGCCACAACTTTTAGCTAGCTGCTCCAGCTGCCTGTCCATAAATGGCCAATACACATAACTTCTGGCAAGCGCTTTCATTCGGTTGAGCCCTGGATGTCCTGCATGGAATTGTCGCAGCACTCTTTGTTGCAACGCCTGCGGGATGACTACTCTGTCTGAGAACATGATGCAATCGTCCACAATGGAAAGCGAATGTCTTCGCCGATAGAACTGCTGCATTTCGGCAGATGAACACGAACGTGACCAGCTGGTTCTGTAGAAGTGTGTCACCTTCTTCAGGATTGGGTCTCGAAGCGTTTCGGCCCGCACAGCATCGGCCGTAACTGGCATACCATGTAGTGCCTCGTTCACCAGGAATTTGACATCAGGTTCGATCTCAACTGAGGCAATGATGGTGTCCTCGTGTTCTTGTTGCTGGGAATCAATGAGGCGTGACAACGCATCTGCTTGGCCCAGCGAATTCGTTGACTGATAACGGATTTCAAAATCATAGCCCAGCAATGTAAGTGCCCATCGTTGGAGTCGATTGGCTGTATAGGCAGGAATTCCCTTCTTCGAGCCGAAAATGGCCAGCAGCGGCTTGTGATCCGTCAAGAGTTTGAAGCGGCGACCATACAGCATCTTGTGAAATTCCTTCACAGCAAACACTATGGCCAATGCCTCCTTCTCGATCTGACTGTAGTTTCTTTCAGCTTTCGTTAGCGTCCTGGCGGTATGTGCGATCGCCTTCTGAGATCCATCTGGGAACGTATGGGAAACTACGGCACCGATTCCTAGACTCGATGCGTCTGTGGCAAGGACAATTTCCCGGGAAGGATCAAAATGAGTTAGTAGTAAGTCTGAAGCCAACAATGACTTGACCCGCTCAAACGCAGTCTGGCATTCTGGTGTCCAATTCCAGGTTTGGCCCTTGCTCAGCAACTTATTCAACGGGGCACGCAGGCGATGTAGTTCGGGCAGAAAAGCGCTGTAATGACTGATTAGGCCACAGAATGAACGCAGCGACTGCAAGTCCACAGGTGGGGACATCTTTTGAATAGCTCGGATATTTTCTGGATCCGGGCGACGACCGTCTTTTGAGAAGATGAAACCGAGAAACTTGATGGTTGGTGTAAAAAAGGTACACTTGTCTTCGCGGATACGGAAACCATATGACTGGATACGTACAAGCACTTCAGCGAGCCGCTGAAATAGTTCTTCTGCTGTCCGACCCATTAAAATGATATCATCCAGGGACGCCGCGGCTCCAGAAACTCCCGCGAGCATGGTGTCCATCAGCTGCTGGAAAATGGCTGGTGCTGTTTTCACGCCAAAAGGGAGGCGGTTGTACTGGTACAAGCCACGATGAGTGTTGATGGTCAGCAATTCTCTTGAGCTTTCATCAACCTCAACCTGGAGGTAGGCATCGGACAAGTCGAGCTTGGCGAAACACTTCCCACCATTCAGCTTGGCAAAGATATCCTCTGGTATCGGATATCGGTCGTCCAATGCGGCATTCAGGCCAGTCGAAAAATCGGCGCAGACTCGCACTTTACCGTTCGGCTTTCTCACAACGACAATCGACGCAGCCCATGAAGAGTAGTTCACTGGGGTGATGACACCGGCTCGTTCCAGTCGGTCGAGCTCCTGATCAACTGCTGTCATGGCTGCATACGGTACCGGTCTTTTTGCTCTAAAGACTGGCTTGGTTCCTTCACGAAGACACAACTTTGCTTTGAAGTTAGTGCAGTGGCCGAGACCATCTTCAAACAAGGCGACAAACTGCTGCTTTAGCTTCCTGATCATTTCTCCTATCGACAATGATGAGTGTACTGGTTCGGTTTGTACTCTATTGCAAATCTGACTCATGGCAACATCAAACATTTGTAATTTTTCCATCCAGTCAAGTCCAAGGAGGTTCAAGTTTAGTCGATCAGACAAGTAGCAGGTTCCGGCCTTTTCCACTCCGTTGAATGAAATTTTGCAATTTATTTCTCCGACCAACTTCAGCACTCCACCGGATGCATTGCGAGCGACTTTGTTGGGATCAATCATCTTCGGCTTCTTTATGTGCTTCCAAGTGTTCTTGGAAATGATCATTATATCTGATGCCGTATCGAACTGCAGCCGGGTTGGGATTCCGTTGATAAGCACAGTGCTAAATCGGCGGCGTGTTTTAGAATCGTTGATTCAAAGAAGGTTTCCGAACAATCTGAAACCATTTTTGTTAAGTCAAGAATAAAAGGGAACAGAGAACAATCAAGGTCACCAAACTCGTATGTACTTGTCTTGTGTTTGGTAGCCATAAAGTTGGTACCCGGAACTTTACTTTCTTGCTTGACCAGTCGGTATTCGAACGGCCAATCAGAGCGTCTCGACGCGACCTTTGTGACCATGACACAAGCCTAAAGTTCTTTATTTTCCGGAACCTAGGCTTGCCTGTGTTGGAATTACCCCAGCCCACGTCCAACCACTTGTGGTAATGTGACAGTGAATTACCAGTGACCTGGAAGCACAATGGGCACATGTTCACAGCCCTGTGCACAAATGTACTATCAGAATCTGTGTTTTCACTAGAAAAGTTGTCAAACACGGGACACTTGCACATCATCTCTGATTTCCTGATGCCCATCGAACGGTTTTTGTTCGCGATGATTACAGTTCACTGCGCGGAACTAACAGCACCTAATTCGGACAGCTCCTCGGAAGAGAAAGAATTAAAGCATTAGCATTGGCTGCCATTGCCGATCCGTGGCCGAAAGGACAAGGCGTCTGCTTTGCAACCCGGAAGTCGTAGATTTGAGCCCACGTAGGGGACTGGGCAACCGTTGCACTAGTGGTTGCGTGCCAGTGAAGCGTCGTTACGGCGTGCTACTGATGCCCTCTCTTTTTACCGGCTCTTTGTAACAACGCTTCCCTGCCATGTGACCACCACTACCGGTCTCGGTTGGGCTTGAACTACGGCTGGGCACTTTAG